GCTGCGTTGACGTCCCAGGAACGTCGTGCTGGCACGACTCAGGACTGTCAGGACGCAGAGGTCACGTTGATTTGCGGCGTTGAAGTCCCAGGAATGGTGTTTGGCACGAGTAAGGATTCTCAAACTGTTGTCTTTCAGTGGGCACCTGCCGCAATGAGAACAACTCCTTGTAGGGACATTTGAAAAGGAACTTGGAGGGAGAGTTCATTGCAACATCGTTGATGCATCTTGGGTTTCCACTGGTCCTCCTTCTCCTTCTCTTGCGTCGTCTGACGTTCTCATCCTCCTCAATTTGACCGAGAGGCGGAAAGCCTGCCTCGCGTGTGGCCACCCTCGCTTCCAAATGGGACACGCACGATACCAACTTGCCTGCGGGAAACGCGACCGTGACCTCGAGCGTCGGCAACACACATCCGTATGTCCGCCGATCTTCCCCAGCTAGCGCGCCTCCCTTTCGCACTGCCGGGCCCCGAACTCCCAAACATTGTCCCGATCGACGCCAGATATCGTACCAGACGACGCTGTGGTATAATACCGAGGCAGCTTGGCATACAACCAAAAGGTTTCCACTGTACTGCCGAGCGCTTTTCGGCGTGGCCCACACGCGTGGAACACCGCGGCAAACGCGAGTTTAGCAGACAACCGAACGCGTTTGATACAAAACCGCGTTTTACGGGCGTTTTGCAAATTGATGCCAACACGATTCCAACACATCCCAATACGACCTACATGTTCCTGGTCTGGTGCCAAGTTATCTGGTCACAATGCCAGACGTCGAGTAGGACGGTATCTGGGAATTCCGCGGCGTGGCAGTGCGATGAGGCGAGGGGGGGGCTGACACGCGCGCTGGGCACTTCTTAAACATGAAAGGCCCGCCGTGTCGTATTCCTTACAGCTCGATGAATGGCAGGCGTTTTTTTTTTGAAGCTGAACTCCCGCCCGAAATGCGGGCCTGTGGGGCACCGGCGCAGTGACAGAGAGTGCTTGTAGGGAGTACTGAGGAGGAGGCTCTGGGCGAGAGGGTGTTCCAGCATCGTTGATACATCATGGGCTTACTCTGGTCCTCCTCCTCCTCCTCCTCCTCCTCCTTCCTCCTCATCCGCCTCCCTCCTCCTCCTCCTCTGCCTCCCTCCTCTTCCTCCTCCTCCTCCTCCTCTTCCAGCTGTCCCTCCTCCTTCTCCTCCTCCTGAACCCTCCTCTGCTTCCCTCCTCCTCCTCCTCCTCCTCCTCCTCCTCCTTCCTTCCTTCCACTCCGCTTGGCGCCACCCCCAGGTCGGGGCGCGCGCCCGGCCGGGCCGTGCGGCGCGGGCCCTCAGAGGCCGGCGAGCTATGCTCGCTTGCGGCCCTTCCCCGCGGCCGGGGGCTCTTCGGCTGGGGCCCGACGCCGAAGCGGGGGGCCCCTCACCTAGAACCTCCGGGGAAGGGGTCGCCTGGTGGCCCCCCCAGGAAGCCGCTGGTGGAGTGCCACGCGGGCGCGGCCCCCGGCAGTCCCGCTTTGGGCTGGGTCGCTGCCGCTGGGTACTCGGCCCAGAGAGGAAGGGTAGTACCGGGCCGGCGGGGGCCGGGTGCCAGGGCCAGGGGGCCCAGGGGCCGGACCAGGGGCGCCGCGGACCGGGCCCCGGTGGGCCCTCCCGAGGGGCGAACGCCAGCCAAGCCACGGGACCAGGGCCCAGGGAGGGGGGCAGGGGACGGGGCCCGGGCCCGGGGGCGGAGGCAGGGAGGGGGGGGGGGGGGGCAGAGGCCCCAGCAGGGGGCCCAAGGGCCAGGCAGGGGCGGAGGTAGGAGGAGGAGAGGAGGAGGAGGAAGGAGGAGGAGGAGGATGGAGGAGGAGGAGAGGCGAGGAGGAGGAGGAGGAGAGGAGGAGGAGGAGGAGGTGAGGACGGAGGGACAGGAACCCAGGGGCTACGCTCAGGGAGGGGGGCACCGACGGCCCCAAGGTGACGGACGAGCGTGCCCTTCCTCTCCGGCGTGGTGCCTAGGGCGCTGCCTGCAGCGCTGCTTCCAGGCGGCGCGCCTCCTGCGGCGACAGGCCGTCGGCCGCGCCCGCCCCGGGCCGGCGCCGGAGCACCGCGGCGGCACCGCCGCCATTCCCGAGGAGGTGGGCTGCGGTCTCCTGGGATTGGGCGCAGAGGCGGCGTGCGGCCACGGCGCCAGCGGCGTCGCGCGCGAAGGCGCCCTGCAGGGTCAGGCGGGCCCGCGCGCGGGCCTCCTGCAGCGTGGCCCCAGCTGCGCTGTGCTCGTTGTGCAGCCCCCGCCAGCCGCGTGGCTGAGCGCCTCCTGCTGCGCCGGGCTGGCAAGGCACGACGCCTCCTGGGCGTCCGCCGCCGCCCGCGCCAAGCTGCGATACTGGGCGCGGGCTCCAGCTCCTGCTTGGGGCCCGGGCGGGTCCGGGAGGACGCGGCGCACCCAGGAGCCTTCGGTCTCCTCCGCCAGAGCGAGGACCCGATTGGCCTCGGCGTACCGGGGGGCTGCCTGGACCCGGCCGTGCAGGCGGATGGCCCGTTCCTCCATGGTCGTGGACCACTGGGTCGCCCACCCCATGTGGCGCAGGACGAGGGCCCGCGGGATGGGGCCGCGCACGCCGAGGGCATTTCGCGCCCACCGCTCCTGGAGGCGGTTCAGGGTCCCCGCGAAGCCCTCCACGTGGACGCACAGCTCGGCTCCGTGCGCCACCTTCGGAAGCGTGCTGGCGATCAGCCCCAAGGCTGAGCTCGTGCAGCGAGAAGCCCAAGTGGCCCAAGTTGTTCTTGGCCTTCCTGATCGCTGCTGCCGCGGGTGGCGCCGCCAAGGGTCTGTGGGCCTTGTGTGGGAGCGCGAACCGCTCCGTGCCTGCGGCCAGTTCCTGCGCCGCTGGCGGGGGGTCCGCGGCCGGGTCTGGGAGCGCCACGGGCTGCGGCGCCGCGCGGCAAGGCTGCGCCCGCGCCGGCGGGGCGGCCTTCACGCTCTTGGCCCGTGCGCTTGTGGCGATGGCGCTTATGCCCTTCTTCTTTTTCACTGCCTTCCTGACGACCGTTGCAGCCGTCCTGTTGGGCAGCCTCTTGGACGCCCGGCCATTCGGTGCCTGTCGAGGGGCCGCCTGCCGAGGGGCCGCCGCCTGCTGGGCCGCCATGGCGTGAGGGGGGAAGGGAGGCGCGCCGCGTAGGGAGAGAGGAGCCCGCAGAGGAGAGCGCGCCCCCGGGCGGCCGCCGGAGGAGGGGACCCCTTGCTTCCTCCTCTTCCTTGAGCCAAAATGGCTCCTCCTCCTCCTCCTCCTCCTGCTCCTTGTCCTCCTCCTCCTCTTCCTCCTCCTCCTTCGGGGGGGAGATGTGTTCGGATGGCGCCCCGCCAGAGGATGCAGCAGCACGGGCCATCCGAAGTAGCAGCTGGACAGCAGGGCCCATCCCATGAACACCTGCCCCTCGGCGCGCCGCTGTCTCTCGGTGGCGCGGCTCTCATGCTGCCTCCTCCCCCTGTTCCTCCTCCCTTTCTCCCCCGCATCCCTCCTCACTCCTCCTACCTCCTCCTCCTCCACCTCTACCTCCTCCTCCTCTCCCCATCCTCCACCTCCCTTCCTCCTCCTCCTACCTCCTACCTCCTCCTCCTGTCCTCCTCCCTCCTCTCCTCCTCCTCCTCCTGTACATTCCTTCCTCCTCCTCCTCTTCTCCTCCCTCCTTCTCCTCTTCTCTTCTTCTTTATCTATCTCTTATCTCTATCTCACACTCTGCCTCCCTCCTCCTCCTCCTCCTCCCCTCCTCCTCCTCCTCCTCCTCCTCCTCCTCCTCCTACCCCCACCCCCTCCCCCTCACCCCATCCTCCATTCCCTCCACCTCCCGATACCGTCCTCCTCCTCTCCTCCTTCTCCTCCTCCTCCCCCTCCTCCTCCCCTCCGTCCATTGGCCCTTCTCCTCCTCCCTTTCCTCTCCGCTCCTCTTCCGCACTTATTTTGACCTCCTCCCTCCTCCACCACCTCCACCTCCACCTCGCTCTTGCCTCCTCCCTCCTCCTCCTCCTCCTCTCCTCCTCATTCTCCTCCTCCCGCCTCCTCCTCACCTTTCCTCAACCCGCCTCCTCTTCTCCTCCTCCTCCTCCTCCTCCTCCTCCGCCTCCTCCGTCTCCTCATCCTTCCCACCTCACCTGCCCCTCCCCCTGTCGTTGTCGCTTCTGACGTGGGTTCCCGATGTCGATGCTGCCATCTCCCTCCTCCTGCTCTTTCTGCTGCTCCTCCTCCTCCTCCTCCTCCTTTCCCTCATCTTCTTCCTTCTCGCCCTCCTCTTCGTCCCCTTCTCCCTTCTCCTCCTCGTCCGCCCCTTCCCCCCCACCTCCTCTCCTCCTCCTCCTCCTCCTCCTCCTCCTCCTCCTCCTTCTCCTCCTCCTCCTCCTCCTTATCCTCCTCCTCCTCCTCCTCCTCCTCCTCCTCCTCCTACCCCTCCGCCCGGGGCGCGACGCTGTTGGCCCACAACATGCGCAGACTCCAGTCATGATGGCCACCATGTTCAGCTATCCCGCACTCCTCGCGTCGCGAATCAAGTCACGACGGAAGACTTATGGGAACTTCGGGGGCCCTCACTGGGCCCAGGGACTGTCAAACAGCGTCTCGGGATTGAAGCCATGTCCTGGGGAATGGGTCGACATTTCTGGGGGTCCACATTGCGAACAAATCGCGACGTCGGGGGTCTGGGTAGTGATAGCCCTAATCGCTAGAGCAGGGGAAGTCAGGAGTTCGAAGAGGAGGCTGAGGAGGTAAGGAAAGAGGAGGGCCATGGAGAAAGCATGGAGGGCATAGAGGAGGATGAGGAAGGCGAGGGCAATAATGGCCGGAAGGTAGGGGAGAACGAGGCAGAGGAGATGAGGATGAGGATGAGGCTGAGGCTGCGGATGCGGCTGAGGATGATGATGATGCTGATGCTGATGCTGATGATAATGATGATGATGCTGATGATGATGATGCTGATGCTGCTGTTGATGATGATGATGAGGATGGGGAGGAGGAGGAGGAGGAACTGGAGGAGGAGGAGGGGGAG